ACTGTAGAACGAGGACTGAGGCTGTAGATCCAGGACCTAAGCTACAGAACGAGGACCAGGGCCACGTTCTGGCAGGCACCAAGGCGGGTCGGGCAGGGCAGTCCGCGGGTCCCTGGTTGTTAATAAAGGGGAGTACGACTTATGGCCAGTGTTGGGAGAAATGGACACACAAACCGAGACCATTCAATACTATTTTTGAGTACTGTTTCTCACAAATTGAAGGAATGCATTGGTCTTATATCTAATTACCGAAAAGACTTTGTCATAGTCAAACTATTCATGAAAACCAAGGAAAGGGTAGTTTTTTAATTACTAGTGCTAAATATTCATCAGAGCCAACAGATGAATAATTTTACCCTCTGCTTATTATAATAATGTATGTTACCAGTAAGATAATGTTAGATTCTGTTCTGTCAAACCTCAAACAAAGAATAGAATCCAACACTTTTTATCACCACTTTTCACAGAAGTTTAGACAGAAAAGTCAAAAGGAGAGGACCAGCTTCACACAGCTCACATTTCAAGTATGAAAAATACATGTTTTTTTATCTGATGAAGAGATTATATTTTTGCAGCATTTGTCGTTTACAAGACTTGTTTTGTCATTGTTTTTTTTTTCTTTTAAATAGGAACCCCAGCTTTAAACGGCCTATGGAGAGAACACACATACAGTACCAGTGTTTTTTTCATACAAACACTGAACTCATCGACTGCCATTGACGTAATGTCTGAGATCTGTGATTTCTGTCAAACTTCCCTCTATTGGACTGGGGATTACAGGACAACAAAACTAGCTAAAAACAAACTTATTATTGCTGATGAAAGCAGAAAGTTCAGTGTTTCAGAGTCTGGTTTCATATTTCACATAGTCATAGCACACAATATTCTGGGGGTCTTGAAAGTCACTCAAAAATCACCAAAAACGGCTGGCAGTCAATGAGTTAAGGGGCTCCAGGTAGTGAATATTCAGCAAAAAACAAACATATCTGTATGTTAATCACAAAACAAATATATTCCAACTCTTAGGCCCGTTCTGCTGTGTGGCTTTGTAACAACATCTAAACCATAACGTACAAAACTTAAAGAACTACCTATACACTGAGCTTGGTGATATTCAGTTTAAAAACAATCACAGAGCAACTTAAAGGTGATAACTTTACTAATGAGACTGTATTGTATCCTTGAGCGAGGCCTAACAAAGGGTGAGAGAGTGTTTGGGAGTTCGAATGGCTAATGTATTCTTTGTATTTCTGAAGGACAAATGTACGAGCACTCATCGGTTTCGGGCGGTCGTCAATTTCCCAAGCTCCTCTGTAAATGCAAAACCAGAGTAATCCTCTTATGTATTCTTGCACAATAGCCCTAACAAACCTTTCTTACGTGTATTGTGCGCGTGTGGCTCAACTCAGCTTGCTCCCTGAATTACCGGGCCTCATACCGGGTCTGTCCGCGGGTCCCTGGTGCTATTCCACACCTCTTTGTTTTGTGGTCATTTCGGCCTTTCTCTCTCTTGCACACATTAGTTTAGTTTAGTTTATTCCAAGCCGTTACAATACAACACAAGAAGAAAAGAAATGCAGTACGATGCTGTACAATATTTATGCACCCTCACACTTTTCCCACAAAGAAGAGAAAAAAATAAAAATACAAAACAGCTTGGAAGGGAGTGGGCTGAAGACGAGCTAATTTACTCCCACCTTCATTAAGTCCTTTAATAAATGGTTGTCGCCATTTGAGAACATAAACAAACAAAACCAGCATTAGTTTTCCGCACACACTTCAATATAATGTAAATACCATACCATAACAATAACCAATACTATTATATGGCTTGGAGCGTACGCGCGCTCTGATTGGCTGATTTGCGGTCTGTTATTTTCCCATCTCGGACCGTTACCATGACAATCGGTCCGCAGCACGTATCAGATTTGATATCTTTCCTCGGTAAAAAAGAAATAATGAGCGACGAGTTGGAAGAGCCAGAGGAAGTGATAACAGCAAATAACGACGAAAACACAACTCCAACAGTCAAGAAGAGACTGACAACTTCGTTACAGACCAGAAAGGTAAAAACAGGACCAGGAAAACCAAGTGGGACATAAACATACTTCACAAATGTCTAAAAAGCATCGGTAACGACACAGACTGAGAACTCACAGCGGGCGCCTCAATCATCTGAGAAGCTCTTAATGTCACAGTTTCACAGTTTGGTTCATGTGTCTTTGCTGTTTGAAACCGATCGATATTTGCACAAATTAAAAATAGTCATATAATAAAAGTAGTATAGTAATCGTAAGTAGTAATCTTTATTTATATACCGCCTTTTCACTGCAGATCTGAGTCTCAAAGCGGTTTACAATTGTTAATTATGGGCATTTATCTCTCACTCCACACAGAGATGGGAGCGGGGTTGCCAGTACAGGAGGCACATGCCAGAACTATTGGACATATTTTTAGTGGTAGGGGAAACCGGAGTACCCGGAGGAAACCTACGCAGACACGGGGAGAACATGCAAACTCCACTCAGAAAGGCCCTGGTCCGACCGGGATTCGAACCCAGGACCTTCTTGCTGAGAGGCGAGAGTGCTATCCACTCAGCCACCGTGCCGCCCAAAAAACATTTATTAACGTCGCTTGCTCGGCCTGTACCTTGGTCTGACATTTCTCTGCACAGACCTCCTCGCTCTCGTTTAATAAGCCGTTAATATCAATGATAATAATAGACAGGGCTGCACGGTGGCACTCTCGCTTCTCAGCAAGAAGGTCCTGGGTTTGAATCCCATTCGGAACAGCGACTGAGTGGAGTTTGCATGTTCTCCCCGTGTCTGTGTAGGTTTCCTCCGGGTGCTCCGGTTTCCCCTACCACTAAAAACATGCACAATAGGTCTGAATGTAAATGAGAGAGTGAATGATGGTGTTGGAGCTGATGGTCCAGTGTGTTCGGCGACTCGCTTCCGTCATCACCGTGTGTGGAAGGACTGGAACAATATCTGACTCTGAACATTGTAAAGCGCTTTGGGTCTGTACCTTGGTCTGTAAAATGCGCTTTATAAATAAACATTACTTACTTACTTACTTACAATAATCAACAGACAACACAATAAGGGACATAAACAGAACTTAATGTTGTTATTATTATTGTTTAACTTTCTCATTGACATTATTAATTGTATATATTGCTAATACTTGTGTTGAATGCATTAAAAACACAGGTTCTTTGTGCGGTCACATTAAATCCCTCATGCGAGCGGGAGCAGACGGGAGCCACACAATCTCATCTTGTCTGGAGATATGCTGTTATTTAAGCTCGTTCCTAATCTGTTGGTTCTGCTTTTGCTCTGAGTCAGGGATGTTGTTAGCTGTCATGATGAAGTTATGCCTAAACCACTGGCAGAGAAACACAAATGCTTCTGTGAATGCAGTTTACACACTTCTGCAATGTCCTACCGAGGCCACGCTTCTTTAGCAAGTTTTCAAAAATGAAATCTGAATATTTCCGTGTGAGATTATAGTGATGCGCCTGAGTTTTCATGCTCCACAGATTCTATGTGCTGTTCTTTTTATTATAATTCGCAGTTTAGTTTCAGAATTAGCCTCTAAAATACATGTATCTGTTGAATAACTACACCGAATTCTGAAGCTGTTGTTGAAAGATACACAATAATGTAATTCATTTGTATTAATTCATGCTGACTCAGAAGACATTGGACTGTTGTGGACTCTGGACTACAGATTTTTGATAAACCTGGACTCGAAACTTCAGCTTGACCTGGGATTGATCTTGGAGTTGATTCCACAGATTTCAGAGACAGACGTTTGTTCCCAGAGAGAGAGTTTTCATCTCCGAGGCCAATAATGTGTTTGGCCCATGATACCAAGCATCTGTGTGATAAACTGGGCCACCGTTTCTCCAATGTAACAGAAAATATGTTTTGTTTGAATCACAACAACATACTTTTAACTGGGCCCTCCTGGTTAGAGATCAGGCTTTTTAAAAAGGAAAAATACATGAGTGCCTCTGTCCTTTCTGAAATAGTTGAAGGATTCTTTGTTGAAAACGATGATGGCACGAAGACATCAGGATTATCTCCAGATCTTGAGGATCTTTTGTGAAGCACAAGGCGCTCTCTGCACACTGTGCTGAGTTTGTTGTAAAATATTACAACAAGAATTGATATAAAAATTAAAAATAAAACTATTTTTTGTAAAACAACTGCTGTTACGTTTATTTCAACAGAAATATGAAAAATGAGAAAATCACTGAAACTGAAGCAAACATGTTTATGGTCAAAAGTCCTCTGGGCCTGAGTGCTGTGTTTTTAAAGAGGCTTCTTTCATTTGTATTTTTCTTGCCTTCTTTTAACCTTGCCTGCAAGCTGAATTCTCGCGGAATTTGTGAGTTCACAAACACAATATTGTGGAGAACGCATTAAAGTTCTACTCAATCATCAATCTGGCTCTTGCCAGGTTAGCCTTCTTTAACACGTTACACAGTTCAGTCATGTACAGGTTTTCCAGGCGTTGCTGTGACGACAGTGACTCAGTGGCTTCAGAGACACAGACCTGAGTCTGTGCTGTCGTGACTTTCTATTTTCCATTCAATATTGTGTAAAACATTCCAGTTCTAAGTGCGATGGTACACTGCATTCTGATGCTTTATGAAGCTGACAACTTTCTCATAAGACACGACGGACGAGCAGTTTGTCTGGAGGCGGCGGTGAACTACCTGCTGCCCCCATCAGTGTCTGGAATCTGATAACACCTGATCATTTCTGTGTAAAATGGTCCAAACACTGAAGACCGAAGATACCAAGAGAATGTATTTTTTGCATTAGAAAGATCAGATCAAATCAAGCCATAACTTCATGTCTTTGAGCAGTTTTCCAGCTGCCCATGCAGTTGTCATGGCGATGGTCATTTCCTGTGCTCTTTACAAACAATGATTATAGTGTACATGTTTTTGGTCCAGGGCGAGCTACTACAGAAAAGGGGGGCGTGCCATGCTGCCAGTCAAGTGGATGCCGCCAGAAGCTTTCATGGAGGGAATATTCACATCCAAAACAGACACATGGTGAGATATATTAATGTTTAATCTCTGACTCTGACAGGTGTTTCATCTGATCCCTCTCAGGCACAATTAAACCACAGAACGACAAGAAAAATGTGATATTTAGTGATAATTATCATATGGGGTAGAAATATATAAGCCCTGACTTTTTTTTGAGAGAGAGAGAGAGAGACCTTCACAGCCAATGCATTCTGGTATGTTGTAGATTTGCAACATTGGCCCGCTGTGATTAATAATATTAATGAGAGAGAGAGAGACCTTCACAGCCAATGCATTCTGGTATGTTGTAGATTTGCAACATTGGCCCGCTGTGATTAATAATATTAATGAGAGAGAGAGAGAGAGAGAGAGACCTTCACAGCCAATGCATTCTGGTATGTTGTAGATTTGCAACATTGGCCCGCTGTGATTAATAGTATTATTATTAATGAGAGAGAGAGACCTTCACAGCCAATGCATTCTGGTATGTTGTAGATTTGCAACATTGGCCCGCTGTGATTAATAGTATTATTATTAATGAGAGAGAGAGACCTTCACAGCCAATGCATTCTGGTATGTTGTAGATTTGCAACATTGGCCCGCTGTGGTTATTAGAGCTTACTCAGGGAAAATATATAATGTACTAATTGGCATGTACTGTTTCTACATATACTCGACTTTCATTTTAATCAGTTTTGGTTTCACCTTTATAAGAGGTTATTAAATAAATTGATGTCTAGAAAATAAATTTCGGTGAAACCTGGAGACAGACATTTTGGAAGTGAGACAGCTGAGCCCCCTAGTGAGCAGATCTCCCAATGTCCTTCACTACCTTTGCTCCTGGCCCATGTGTGTGTTTTCAAGTTTTTATTTTTTCATCCCGTCTTGTCACTATCTCATTTCTGTCCTCCGCTCGTCCACTTTAACAGCCCGCGCTGCTGATGATGCTTGTAATTTATGGCTTTATTCTCCTTCGTGGCTCGCTCCCTGTGTAACTAATCTCTGCTCTAATGGCGCCGCTGTCTCAGGTCGTTCGGGGTGCTGCTGTGGGAGATCTTTTCATTGGGCTATATGCCATACCCCAGCCGGAGTAACCAGGAAGTGCTGGAGTTTGTCACCAACGGAGGACGGATGGATCCACCCAAAAACTGTCCTGGGCCAGTGTGAGTACAAGCACATTTTGCCTCTTGACTTGGATTCAGGCACAAAGCTAAGACCGGGAATCCACAGAGAAGCTTGGACTTGGATCTAAGCTTGAACTATTCTTGTTTGGATCTTGACTTGGATTCAGAACTGGGACTATAATCTGAGCTGGAACACAGACACTGGTTGGATGTCCTGGTTGCTGTATAAATGATTTTTCCCTTTGTGTGATGGAAGATTCTGTGATTGTGGTGGATTATGAGCTCAAAATGCAGCTCACGGTTAAAACGAGCTGCCATTTATAATTGAATATATTAGAAATTATGGCCACAGAATGCACCTTCTTCTCCCATCTACAATCGATCTCAATCAGACGTGGGCAACAGTTTTCAGCCATGAACCAGGACGTCATGTGACCAACTCTTACAAACCATAAAACACGAAGCCAACATACTGTATGCCTATAGCACCTTCTGCTTTAGCAAAGAAAGATCGTAGAAACCAAACACTGTATTTAAGCATGTAATGTAGTATATGAGCACGTCCTAATTTGTATACCTTAGAAGTTTAGGCTCATTTTTATCTTTTTTAATGCCTTACTCTGTTCTTTACTTCTCTTCTTTGACGGTTGCATCGAAGAGAAGTAAAGAACGCTTCAAACAAAAGAACATTTTTCATGGCCCCTGAACTGATTATGAATAAATTGCAGCATTGATGGTTAGAGTTGGGGGAAAATTCCGATTTTTAGATTCATCGTAATTTGGCCGTGGAAGAATTCAGACCGATTCACAAAAATGTGTTTTTAATTGTGTTAAAAATCTCTCCTAGGGACGGACATCGCAAATTATCCGTGGCTATAAATGTTGTAGTTTTAGAAGTAGTTGATTGTGGACACTTTTCTATCAAATTAATCAATAAATTAATAAAATGCAGATTATTTTAATATGCCAAGTAAAGTAGAACTGAAATACAGTAAGCGTGGTCTTTGAATCGCTGTTGGAGACGGACCGAGAGCGAGCGCCCACAGCACACGCCTCCAGGAGAAAACAAAACTACAAATATGGCGGCGCTAATCAACCCCCTCGCCGCGAGACCTGCTCCGGTCGCCTCGGACGCAACACACTTTTCACACACTCTCTCTCAGCGCTCCCGTGTCCACCGTGCACGCACAAACACACACTCTCTCTCAGCGCTCCCGTGTCCACCGTGCACGCACAAACACACACTCTCTCTCAGCGCTCCCGTGTCCACCGTGCACACACAAACACACACTCTCTCTCAGCGCTCCCGTGTCCACCGTGCACACACAAACACGCACACACACACAGTGTTGGGCACGTTACTTTGAAAAAGTAATTATATATAGTTACTAGTTACTTCTCCCAAAAAGTAACTGAGTTACTAACTGAGTTACTCCACTATAAAAGTAACTAGTTAATAGTAAAAGTAACTATTGCGTTACTTTTTCGTTTGTCGTGGTACAAACGACTAGTCTGGACTAGTCTGGACTAGTCTAGACTAGTCTGGTGAACTAAAATGGCCCTCCTACTAAAATGTTTGGACACCCTGCTTTAGACCCTTCCATTCGTATCTTTGTAACTAACAAATGAAACACAAAAAGCACCTAAACTAAAGCTCAAATCTTCATGCATTTCATTTCAATCGATATTTTTATAAAAGTAATTAAATATAATGGAAAATAGTGTCAGGATTTAGCAGACAGAGACGGATCGTGGTGTGCCAAACTCTGGAAGTTTATTTAAGTTTCTCTCAAGTCCACTGGTTTACTCTGTTTCTTTCTCTCAGACAGAATAAAGGCAGTACACAGTTTATATAGTCATTGTCACGTCACACATCGAAAGACATACGTGTCACAAAGAGACAGTCACATCATAGTCATAACATGGAGTCCTTGTAGAGTCCTTGTACAGTCCTGCACGTAGGCCATATTGCTATCTAATACTAATACCCTCCCCTTTGATCACATAATCACATGTGATCACTCAAATCGATCAATCAATAAAGTGGAAAAAGAAAAAAAAAAAAATCTAAAAAAAAACTTAAAAAATTATTAAAAACAAAGAAAATGTATGCATTAAACTCATAATCATCAAATCAATATCAGTGGATTTTATCCTCTATCCTGGGAAAAAAAAAAACAAAAAAAAATAAACAAACAAATCAAAAAAAAAAACAAACAAAACCAAACCTATTGGACACACAAGAACTCAGCAGATTCAGTCAAAACACAGACAAAAACGAGCTGAGTCTCAATTTAGAAGCTGATTTCACTTTTCTTACTCTATACTTTTATTCTAATGCTAATTGTTTACACTACACTTATTTCACTGTATTGTTTTCACTTTTCAATCTTAGACTGTGTACTTTACTTTTACTGATTCACTATAGTTTAAAACTATTCTAATCTATTTACAAATATGTTTGCATATTTGCTTCTATTGAGCCATATTCTTAAACATACATTTTAATCTAATAAATCTCTCTGTGGTTTTATACTCTCATTATCAGTGGCATATTGTCAGTGGGATTTTGTTCCATGTCTATTCTCATTCTCAGGAATAAAACTGTGAACACAGTAAGGCAAATGGTCAACATTTACACTTCTATAGTGGTCAGTGATTTATTACTTTTTATTATCTAAAGATATTATTGTCAGGCAGTTTGGGATGGATGTACATCATTAATCAAATTAGTATTATCCTTACAAGAGCTAATCTGTTTTAGCAGGTTTGGGGTTGGGGTCAGTTATTTTACAATGGTGTTTGATTCTCTAATCTGTTCTGATGAATCGACAGTGGGCTATACCCAAATACATCAAAATGCTTTTGAATCTCTGTTGGTTGTAATCTATCTCATTGATCTAGGCTTTAATCTAGGCTACACTCATATGGACTTTTTGTATTGTCAACATTCACTCATGTTTGAACACAAGTGAATTTGGAAGGTATCTAATAAAACTGTACATAAACTGTAATTAACTTTATCTACTTTTGAAGTAAATGCTTGTGAAATGGTCCCTTTACCATTTGATATTAGCACTGGCTACAAATAATCTCTATTTTTGAAAGAATCTATGGTTGATGCTTTTATCTATCTCTATTTTTACTCTATTTTTTAACTCCAAAGCTCGGCTGCAGCTTGAGCCAAGGCATATTTCTAGTTTGTGACTTCTGTCACTTTCAATATCTCTAAAATACTCTGATTCTAATATTATAGCTGATCTATCAAAAGGATAACATTGTAGGGTACTATTTTAACTCTTATGTGGAAATGTGTTTATGAAAAACAAAGGAAGTCAAATTCTACTCTTTCTACTACTACTAAAAACGCTACAATACTAATACTTTATCATTTTAAAACTTTTTAACTGTTGCTCAGTCTCCCAGACTAAAAAAGTCAAATTTTTTGTCTGTCAGATGTCTGAATACTTAACATGTATATTGCATTTGGTCACAGTTGTGGTTGTAGCAATAGCATCGGCAATAGACGTTTTCATTGGCTGGTTCTTGTTCTGCAAATGTCTGTGTCCAATAGATCATCAGATGTCCAGAAGCTAGGGACAAACAAAAACAAAAGAAAGAATCATGAGTATCTCTCTCATTTAGCACTCATCAATGTATGATTTTAGAAATATAAACATCACTCCCCAGTTTTCTCTCTCAGGTCCTCAGATCCTCAGGGTCCCCTGAGGGTGAGTCTCAGTCGTCATCAGGTCAGGTCATAGAGAGATGTCATCTTGGTCATCAGTAGGGTCCAAGCCATGGTTCTGGTTCTGGTCTCCAGATGCACATCAGGATCTCCAGATACAGTCTTTTCACTTGAAGCACATCAGGTCATTTGCGATGCACTTCTGGTCAATGGTGCAGTGTCTCAGTTCCTGTACACAGCTTGTAATGCAGTAGTTACTCTCTATGGTTAAATCACTTTGATTCTACTTTAACACAATTTCTATTCATGCTGTTGCTTCTGTCCCTCAGACAAAAGCAAGCGCAATGATTCAGTTTACTTCTCTAATTTGTGTTTTTATCAGATCTAATTCTAATCAATGTAATTACTTCACACAGTACAAAATCAACAAATCAAAAGTGTCAGGACAGAGGTCAATTAGTCCATGACAATATAGAATTCAAATGAACATTTCTGGTCTCAAAAAATACTGATTCAACTAAAGATTCAAGTGATAGACAATTAAAAATATGTGTTTACATTGGAGTAAACTTTTAAAATGCTTTTTTCTCATGTTCTGCTTTTTCATGTATCTATATGTAAATGTGAATGTGTGAGTGTATGTGTGTGTATGTGTGTGTATGTAAATTTTGGGGTTGTGTCTCCAGACTCCCCGAACCACCTGTAGGTGTCAAAGGTCACACTGTGGTGATGCAAACCAACTGGACACACTTTCAACTCTCTCTAGGTCTCTACCTGACGCTCCACCCATCACGTCTCCAGACACCTCTCTTTCATGGCCCCGGTCTCACTCCCACTTACTTCTGTAGTGGGGGGAGGGGCGTAGAGGTGGCATTGTTGCCCTTTGCTCTTAGCTCTGTGACCTGTGGCTGGGTGGGCGTTGCCCTGTCCAGTGTCCAGCAGTGACCTCTCGTACAGTGTGGCAGAGTCTGAAAAAAATCCTTGAGACGGCCAATTTAAAAAACAATAGATATCAGTATGCGAATGAGATTGTTTTTCTCCCTAAAGTCAAAACAATTTTGGAGCGCTCTGGGTTTTCCCAAGCGCTATGTAAATAAAAGATTACTTATTATCTTACTAATGATGACATTTTTAAGACCAGAAACTCTTAATATAAAAAACAAGACTCAAATCTCTTGAACCTTCAAACTTTAAAATATGTATTATGTACTTTTGTACTGTGTTTAATTATCTATGCATTTATCTCAGCATATATTTTACTAATTTAAAATAATTGCAGCATTTTTCAAATGAAGTCAGTATGAATTGGAGCACATTTTAGACCAGGCTCCTGTGCTGCGTGCATCTGCAGCAGG